TCCCGTTCGCGTAACACGGCCACGATAAGAGGCACAAGCGGTCCTGACGCTGTGCCGCGTTCGTGGGATTTTTTTCGGCGAAATAATGCGACCCAGGACCAAGTGTTCTCTCGCTCCCTGTCCGCCATTGTGACCGCGAGGGACGCAATTAATTATTCGCGTAAGGCCGCGAGGGAGTGTGCATTGTTGCATCTGTTGTTGCACGCTCCACGATTCTCCTCGTGCGTATATACAGGGTGTTATAGAAAAAGGGTTTATAAATTCTGGGGTAGATACAGTAGACTCGCGTTAAAGTAGCGGTGCGGGGTTCTCGAGGCGGGCTTTCCCTGGTAATGTTACTTTAAGGGAAGTCAATGGGCACGCAGGAACATGTGGCAGTTCGATCGATTGACCAATTTGATTAGAACTTTTGTTACAAATGGCGACTGATAGTGGGATGTGTACACATGTTTGAGTAATGCGTGTGAGCTGAGGCGTTCTTACCGCTACTTTAACCCGAGTCTACTGTAATATATGTCAAATGATGAACAAATTTTTCTGATAAACGAGGGTCGAAAGATTAATAGTTTTCCAAGTTATAAACAATTTTTCCGTTTCAGCGAGTGACTTTCGAGAGCCTATCGTACCGTATGGAGACAATGAAGGAAATTGTAAATCCATTGTTTCCATACGATTCGCTAATTCCTGAAGCGAGAATGTCAGTCGCTTTAATCGAAACGAAAAATTTGTTTATAATTTTTGAAAATATTAATTTTTTCGACCTATGTTTATCAAGACTTTTTTCATGATTTGGCGAGTGTTATTTATCTAAGTTACGAACCCTTCTTTAGAATCACCCTGTATATGTATATTAGTTAAGGCCCCCGTAGCTGTGAATGATTCTGCGCCGCGGAAACAATTTTCGGCGATGCGAAACGGCTGCGATCCTTTTGTGCGCCGCGATCGGGGTCTGCCCGGGTTATTTATGAGCTCGAGGTGGCCCCGTGTAATTTACGTCCGCTCACTGGGATACGCGGGACAATTAACCTTCTACTGATCGGTGTAACTTTAAAGTCACACGACAGTTTTACCACTCTTAACACTTTGACTGGCCACACGTCATCCAAATATGGGTGACACGTACGTTGCAAAAAGACTGGATTATTTAAATACCGTTGGAAAATTTTTGCGTAAAATTAATATCGGAATATAACTTAAAACAAAACTTAAATGCATATATTATCGACGATTGATGATTTGAAAAAACGAAATAAAGTGTGTCTGGCTACGTACGGCCTTTTTCACTGTGGCAGCCAATGTGTTAAGGAAATGAGAATGTTTTTCCCTACAGGTTGACCAATGTAACTCGAAAGTAAAAATTTGTAAGACATTTACCAAATGTAGTATTGCCCAGGGTAACCTTAACACTAGAACTACCAAGCAAGTCAAAATGACTTGTCAACACACTCTCACAACGACGATTAAAATGTTATGACAATACATTTTCTCAGATTTTTTGCACCTTTTATTACGATATGAAAGTGAAGAAATTAGTCAATATCTAAATTTTCAAAAGTTTTTCACGTTTATCCACCGATCAAAGGAAATATGCGTTTATCGTCGGTAGTTCTAGTGTTAAATTCATAACCCCATTTCGAGACAAATACATAGGAATCTTACAATAAGGAACACTATGGAAAAAGGAAATTCGAATCAATATCCTGCTAAAGCATTGAACATTGAATTACGTTAGGTAAAGGAATTTGTATGAGGCAAAGAATGGAAAAGTTCACCAAAGATTTATGCGAGAGGTTAACACGAATCCGGTCGACAGAGTAACTGGGTCTCGAAGGTGTTCGAGCGAGCGTCGACAGGGCCCGACGCAGGTGAGACACAAATGAAAGACGTGAACGCGAGCGGAGCAGTGAATCCTCCTGGTTGAACGTCTCTCCTCGGGTTCGTGTTCTGTCTCGACGGAACAATCGGGGGGACTGTCCGAGGGAAGGGTAATTAAGAGAACACGACGGCGACGATTAAACGAATCCAGCCGAATCGGGTGAAACGAATTAATTCTATCGTCGAACGAGGGTTCGAAGATAAACGATTGAGCCTCGCGGAGGCCGGGCTGCCTGTTTAACGATTCAGTGACGAATACCGTCGCAAATGCCTGCGAAACGCCCTAGCTCGTTCATTTGAATAAAACTCGCCAATCGTCCTTAACTCGTTAGGGCTTTCGATCTGAATTCGAGAGAAGATATACATACGTAAAACGTACACCGTGTATAACCTTTTTAAATACGTGAAATGCCGATGACTAGACTGCGGATTTTTATGCAAAATAACATTTTCTAAAGTAATTTTTTAAGACAGCAACAAAGGTAGGAATTTCTTTCTTCTCTTAAATATCTTATTGGGTTCAGGATAAAGTAGAAATCACGTTGCATTCGACGAAAGTTTTTTCTCTAGTGTATTACACAAAACCCTATTAGCTATAAATGAATAAAATCCGTAGTCTATTGACGACTAAACGTAATATTTCGTCATCGATCCTGACACTATAATCATCGCATTAACTACTAGAACTACTGAAGATGAATGTGTTTCTACTGATATCACGTTGGTAATAGGGAGAGTTTATCAAACTTCTTCTCTGACATTCACAATATGACATTCTAGTAATTTTTCTAAGAGTTCACGAACTGTCAAAATTCATTGTGACTACTGTGGTAGTTCTACTGTTAAAATATTAACAGTGTCACTTGTTCCAATAAACAAAATGTTGCGTGGACAGATAAACAGGAATTATCAGAGTAAACAATTTTCATACGAAAAGTAAATCAGAATTGAAATAGGTATAATAATCCACTGATTTCGGAGTAATCGGTTCGTAACAAAAGTAGTCGTTCGTCCATAAACGTGGCGCGCGATGACGAATGGCTTAATATAGTCGTTGCGCGAGATACTTGAACGCGTGGGAAGCGTCAACGTCTCGCGGGAGACTTCAACGCGTGGTTAGCGCGAATGGTTGGTGCAGAGACTTCAATCACCTGTGAATACAACCACTAAGAAAACATTAAACCAACCCGTCCAAGATCAAAGTCTCTCGATCCCACTCGAAAAACTTCTTCGAACTCGTTTCACACGAGGCATCCCCAGAATTACGAAATATCAACCAGAAACATCGAAAAGGAGGGGATACCTCATCTGTACATGAGAGAAAAAGAGGAACAGAACCATGTGCCATGCAAAATGCAAAAGAGGGATATCGCCGTGGGCGCTGACTGGTGCTGGTCGCAGAACGTGAAATTACGAAACACCTGTTCCTCCGAAACGACTTCATTCGAATCGGTTTCGCGTGATCCCGTCGCTCGTTGCCTGGCTGGCCCGCGATATGTACCCTCCCATTTCGCGTACGAACCCAGGCCGCACGATTACAGACGATAGCGGCCGTATAATGCTCGGCGATCCATTGTTTAGGCGTTCCCGGCTCTACCCATAACGTCAGATTAATAAGAACAATGCTCGTTACGCGATACACGGGAGCGATAGGTCGGACGCTTTTAATGGGTTCTGGGTGATTATAGACCGGTCGGAATCAATTGGCTCGTGAAAACCGCTTCTCTGATGATGAAGCGCGTGAGACAGAACTGCTGCGCTTGCAGTTTGCCCCTTTTATTCGAGTAGGGGAGAGGGTTGAAAGTAACAGGGGTGGGTTGTTACAGGGCTTATAACTTTTTGAATAAAAAGAGACAACGCTGTGACAAGAAATAATGAATAAATTATGATAATTAATTGATCTTGTTAAGAAGATAATGTTATGTTGTTTTAATTAAAAGGAGATGATTTATGTCATATTGATTACGTATTAATTAAGAAAGAACGTTCTATTGAGCAGTTAAAGGAAAAATTGTAATGTTATGTTTCTTAAAAAAACTATAATCTTATGTTAATTTCTATATATCATTCAACGAGTCGAGTTAATAATTACGGACAAAGAGAGTTGATTATCATTTAGGAGAAGCAGGGACAGAGACAGTTGCCTGACTCGTCTCGTTGACCGGACAATAAATAAAATATCGACTGTTGTATTTCATGAAAACTAAAAATTGTTACTTTCAATCTCGGTCTCCCCTAATTGAAAGGCAGAAATATGAGAAATCTACGACCTTGACTGAACCGATCTCGATACGACGATAAATCCACCTTGTGCACAAGTCCACTCCCTGAGAAATATCACTAATAGACTTCCACCTGTGCGGTTTCCCGTTTGCAAACTGAATCGACAATTTCTTTTTCGCAATTCTCGCTAATAAATGCACGTAATAACCATTCCATTCACCGGATCGACGCGATCAAGAGACACGCGAATAGATCGGAAACCTGAATGTACCTCGGCGGTGAATAAGAATGGTCGTGGTATTGCAATGACGATAGCGGTAGTCTCGGTAACCTATAATTTTGTCACGGTAGTGTCCAATTCGGTACCATTATTCGAGCCTCTATTGAGAGGAAGCATAATTGTCGTAGGGGGACGCTCGTTTCCCCGCGCGAAAAGATCGATGAATCGCAGGAGTCGTGAGTATGGCACTACTGAAGAAAACGCAGACGATTACGCGTTGTCGTTGTCAGGTTTCGCAGATGTTGTCGAGTAATCCCCGAAGAATTTTTCACGCGACGATTAACCAATTGGTCCGTAATTGCTCACCTTTCGTCTGTCACTCCAATACAACTCGCTTACGCGGGATAATATCGATACACTACCACGTAGTGTCTTTCACAAAATTATTCCTGAGTCTCGATCATCCTAGGGAGAAACTTCGTAACACCGCGGCCATCTTCCTTTGGATTAACCTCAAACTACCTTAAACACCGTCGAACCACGATTCTTCACTGTATCCACTCGTCACAAATACCGTGACAAGGATCAGAGGCACATTTTTAACAGCACTGGTAAACAAATTTCCCTGAAAAATACTTCGTTCGGCTCCTGAACAACCGGAAGTACGGTTCCACTTGGATCCCTAGATGTAGTCAGACGGCACCGAGGTCTCGTTTATCGCCGCTAGACGGTACTGCGGTGCTTCAAGGCCTTGTTGATTCACATGGAGATTCGTGTTGCTGTTCGTGGACGCTGCTGTCGGTATCTGTTGGTTCGTCGAGTTCGAGCTGAGATCGCTGTAGTACGCGCTGCTCGGCGCGCTGCTCAACGTCGGACCGTCCGGTTCCGCGTCGCTTCCGGTGTACGCGGTGTTCTGGTAGGACGGATGCTCGCCGTTCCGACTGCCGATCCTTAGCTCCTGATGATGATGGTGATGGTTGTGGTGATGATGGTGGTGATGATGATGCTGCATCTGACCTGGCGGGACCGGCGTCGACGGACCGTTCTCGTACATCTCGTAATCCGGTTCTTGTAACCTGAAAGGATCGGATTACCGAGGTTACCTGGCGTCGATGAGATCGTTCGATTCTTTCTCTCTTTCTCTGGACCAGTTCATGCGTCCAACGATAAGGGATTTAGGAGCCACTTCCTGTTCAATAAAGGCTTAAACGACCCTAGTGTAATTTAGCGTCGAGCAAGATACACGTTCGTGTTCGAGACTATCGGAATCGTGATTTTAGGATATACTGGACGAAGCCTGGATGATGCTTAGGGAATAGCGGTTTTATGGTACACTCGAGGAATGATCTAGAATCTGGTTTCTCGAATCTATCCGCGGCGACAGGTTTCACGTTTCTGATTAAATGTATAATTAAATCGGACAGATACGGGACCGACGTTCTGGATTGTTCGTTTCCTTTAATTATGCCTAGATCGGGAGAGACACACAGGAATGTGGGTACCATTGACAAGACTGGGCTGGTCTTGGAACGGTACATTTTAATAAGTCCTGTTCTCCACTTTATTGCGATGCTTTTACGCGTTACACGGGAACGTCGATCTCACGCGAGGCTGCGCATGTTCGTTATCCGCGGCGTGTGAAACTGAGTTAGAGAGATTTTTTTGCCGGAGCTGGTTTCTGATTGTGAATATTCCTGTTTATCGTATCGGAACGATTTCATTGCTTCGTTTACATGGACTTTCGCGATACTAACCGAGACCCATTAGCACGCAGAATTACGAATATGTGCGCTATCTGTTGGATACGGTGTGTCGTGCAAAACTAACCGATCGCTATACACACTATTTGCCTTATGCTTTGATAATCACGTATTCTCCAAGCATCCAGGAATTCATTACAGAATCTCGTATTTAGAAACTAATATAAAAGTATTTTCGGGTTCACCAATGGATACGATTAAATTTCAGTTAAAATACAGATCTCGGATCACCGACAGAAGATCCACGGGTCCCACGATCAACGACCGCGATATTACCGATACAAAATCAACAGTGCCGTTGTAACCGACAAAAGAACGAAACAAAGCGGTTATCCGTTGCAGGTGGTAGCACGATCGATCGATTTGAAATTATTAAATCGTGATGCTTCGAGAACTCGTGGAAGAAGGCGTGTTCTGGGGCTCTGCAGAGACGTGCAACCAGCTCGAAGAAGCTGCGCCTTGAAAAATTTAATTAAGGGGGGGATGGGGGACTAATTTACCTTTTACTATGCCGTGTACGTAGAGTGTCCCTCTGCAACGAGCCGTCCTCGTTGCCTCCGCCGTAATGACGATGTAACCTAGCGGCGTCCAGCTCGTGGTATTCGTCCTCCTGGCCGCCGGAAGTTGTACCGTACGTCGAGCTTCCTCTCATTTGTAGCTGTAGATCGCTCGCGTAGCTCGCGGCCTGCGAGTCCAGTTCTGCGTAGAGCGCCTCGTCCGTTTGCATGTGGGTGTAGTGGTTCTCCACGGGAAGATTCATCGCCCGTCGGTGTTGCGGAAGCGACAGAGGCGTCGTGACGACTCCTGGCGTACCGCCGCCGCGTCGTGAGCCAAGCCACGACCACACATTGTGCCCTTGAATCAAAACGGAAATCGCACGGTTCTAGATCGTTCTTGCTTCCTTGAGTACCTATGTAAATATATATATATGCCAATACAGCGGGGCCTTGTATGTTCGCCGCCATCTTTATTAGGTTAGGCGACCTCAAGATCCATCCGAAGATCTCATTCCCATATCTTTGAGGGGAAAGTCACGCGGAGAATGGTAAACTAGATATAATGGGTGGGAAATGTGGTTGGAAGAGGGAAAGAACTTGTCGACAGACTGGATAACATAATGGACAATAATGGTAAATAATGGTACAAATGAACGATTAACGAAATTGTATATAACAATAAAACCATCCGAAAACTTTCAATTATTATGTATTGTGGTTAAAATAAAAATGGAACACTTTTTTTTCTAGGGAATGTGATCTATCCTTTCCTGGAGAAACAGACGGTAATTCAAAATGGCGGTTCCGTACTATCCGAATTAATTGGGGTAAGTCATAATTATGACTACCACGTTATCGATCAGTACGATTACGTTTAAGCAGTCGGGAATTGTTTACATTTTTTTTTACATCCTTTCCAAGGATCATACGTACCGGGACTAGGCGCGACGTCGTGATAAGGAGGCAGTTTGTCCAATTCGAGGGGCGGTCGATCGGGTATAACCGCCACACCGCCACCAGCCCCGGCTCCTCCACCTGGGCCACCGGCTTCCTGACCGTTCGTGTCCTCGACGCCGACACCGCAACAGCCTGATGGAACAGAAATAATAAAGAAAAAATAAAGTTCAGACTCCCACGTGAGTCTCAGCCCCGGAAAATCCGTTGGGCGGGATCCCGCGCAAAAGTCGTGCTCGAGTTTCAGCCGGGGTAGGGTGTATAAGAGCGAGGCCACGAATCGAGACGAAGCTCGTGAAGTGCCAGGTGAGCTCGGATCGGGGAATCCTGTTACCGGCTCGCGTGTAGGTACTCGTAGTTCGTAGAGGGGGTCATTGCCATGTACAGGGTGTTTTTTGATTTTGAGCCTAATGATCAGTTAGCCAGTACGACAGATTTGCAAAATAATTCAGAGCAGGGAATAGTATTAAACACGCTTCGAATAATAATACACGTACAGATGCACTCTAATGTTGCATAAACTTGCTAGGTTACGCTTCAGGACCAATTTTAATAAGCATTATTAAATCAGTCTAAAACGTTCCATTCCTAACCCCCATCGAAGAACCATATTTTATTCGATCGATCTACTATAACAAGCCCACGTGTATCTCGCCCTGTTTTCCGGAAGCACCCCGTATATTCCCCACGCGTACCTATCCGAATCACCGTGCATTATGACATAAGTTTCTCATATCGGCCGTCAGAGCGATAGAGACAGAGAAATGAAAAAGAAAACGAGGCTGTTTTCTGTATGGCCCGTATTGTGGGCTCGTCATCGTGCCGTCACGGCCCTCATAGAAACGCGACTGGGTTTCGGGGGGAGGGGAGGGGGGGTGAAAAGGACAGGGGCGGACGGAGGAGCCAAACTGGAAGAACAGGAAGGGGATGAAGTATCTGGAATCGGCGGAGGGGGAAAAATAAAAAGAATTCGGAATTCATAGATCAGAGATGCCGCCTTGCCGGGTAAAGCAGGCATGAGAATGCCGCGGTAGGAAAAAAAAAGCGAGATTATGGGAATCCCATGGCCTGCGTGTGTCTCTTCTCTCTTTCCACGTCTTACACGACTCATAACCTACGCACGTACGAAGCCCCTCCGGTAAATACGCTCCCCAGCGCGCGTCATCCTCGCTGTCCACCAGGGATCTCACCCCCTCCCCCCCTCTGGTTTTCGTCGTCCTGGCGATGGCAACGACGACGCGTCTTGGCGGCCTGTCACTTGCCGGGAGATAGAGAGACTGGTTCTCGTTTTATCGCGGTGTGCTCTGACGGCACGCACGCACGACGCGTCGGTTCTCAGCGCGACCGGTCTATACACACAAACATAGTCCCTGGTCTAGACTACGCTATTTTCTTCTTCTCCTTCCGAGAAGCTCTCGCGAGGATAATCGCTGATGCGCTCCGACGTCCCGGAATGAAAACCGGGGGATGACGTGACCGAGGAGAAATTTAATTCTGCCGCTTAGAAACCGTCCGCACTCCCCCCCCGCCCTTCGTCGGTGTATTTATAACAAGATGTTACACTGCAATTTACATAATTAGGATCCACGCAAGACGTCCGACAGGGATCGCCTGGCGATGGACTATCTTCGCCTAGCGCCAGGTCTGGGATCCTTTTTTCTCGACGCGCGTTACAGTGTGTTTTTAACGACGAATCGAACCGTTATCGACCCGTCGAGACTGTTGGTAATCCTGTCTATAGGAAAGGCGTAGTCACCTGTGTATGTGGGATGTTGGAGAGATTTGTCCTTCGTTAGGTTAAGATTGTTGTTCGATGATACTCGAACTTCGATCAGGACTAAACATACTTCCTCGATGATTTTCAATCGTCGAGGACACAACTTCTTCTAATCAACCTTCTATTCAGACTGGGCCACTGGTGATCCATCATGGCGGACGCGTCGCGCGACTACATGCGCGCGCATGCGCCTAGTAGGCCCAGAAGGCAATCGGTTACGTCCACGAGCCGGTGCCGGTGGTGTAATCGCGTTATTTATCGTCGGTTGCCCGGTCCACGGCGCACGCACGCTTCGGCGTCGATTTAACATTCCGCGGCGAGCGTTACGCTCGTTTATTGCTATCGTAAATAAGACGGTGTCGATTTATCGGCACGACGCGTTCGTAACGTCGTCGGGGCCCGGTCGCCTCGTTAATAATTGCGCGTCTGACTGTCAACCGGAGATCCCACCGGGTCCGTTTCGAGCTCGATGGTCAGGGTTCGGTCCTGAATGACTTCGGGCGTGAATTAATGCAGCGATTTTTTCGGAGACACTAATGATCTTGAGCATGAATTATTCAAAGTATGTGTCTTGCTATGGAATCGTACAGACACTGGAAACATCTCCATTTTGCGAAACAGTCTTGTGTTAATAGCGTATGGTATGTTATAAATCACGGGATTCCCCAAAAATAGATACGGATCTATGGATGACCAGCGTTTTAGCTATTTTAGGTTGCTTTCATTTGTTTTATTTATAAGGTGAGGGTAATACTGTTTGAAAAATTAATATAAATTACACTCTTGACACACTCATTTCAAGATGGTGGAAAGGGCGATAGGATTCGTGATTAGTCTGTGCATAATCTAATATCTCTGAGGAACACTATACATTACTGTCGAGGGGATGACCAATATATCTTATATCTATTCAAAAGGGTTCGGTAGAAATCAATCGAACGTTGTCCCCAATTACCAGTGCTTTATATCGAAACGCAACGCGTATCGCAATCCATATATTCAAACCATCATTCACTCATGAACCAATTACGTACCAGATAAACTTAGTGATAAAAAAACTATCAACGATCAAACAACCCACACAATTACTACAAAGTACAACTACATAACCTACAAAAAAATTACTATTTCAATTTCACCTCGAAGTTATCGAGATCACGCGGTGTAGAACCGTGCTCACAGGACTGCTACCCACTTCCCTTGTTCGTCGACAGAAGGAAACCACGCACGAAACACAGTGTGGCACGCGGTATACCACCGCGATTACGCCATAGTTCCCACCTAACGCCCAGGGCCCAGGTGAGGTAATCGGATCCGTTTTTTTTCCAGGCTGTCGCGTCGCGTCGTCCTTCCATGGACGCGTTAACCCGCGTGATTTACCGTATTAGATGGTTCGAATATTAATTGGGCGACCGATTCGTCCAGTCGGGGCCCGGGCGCAACACGGGACGCGTGAAAACCCTGGCGCGCCGTGACAGCCGGGCGGGGTGTGGGGAGGGGGGCCGTAGGTCCCCGAAGGCGTGGACGGATTCTGTTTCCTGGCTGTGCGCAACCGTAGCTCATTCCGACCCCGATACGTTTTTCGATGTCGTTATGTCGGAACGATCTTCGCTCGAGCGAGAAAATTATACGTTGGCACGTCGGGCCCTCTTTTTTGTGGAATCCTCCGGAGGGGAAGATAGACTTGTTGCTCGGTCGACTAGCAGGTCTATCTTTTCGTTGTGTGACTCGTAGCTCGTGAGATGTAGTTTGGTAATTCTGATGTTTGGGACCGTTCACGGGAGGCTGACGGGACGTTGGGATTAAGTTTTCTTGAAAATTGATCTTTCGATCTTTTTCGAGTGTTCGTGTGGAGGCAGCTTGGCATTGTGCCGAGGATGTGGACGAATGTGGTGGTAATTTTAAAGAAACTATTATAGAGGGAGCAGCGGAACAAAGAATTCACTGGTTTATAGACCTCGTTAGAAGAAATTAAAACGTATTTGTAGATTAAATTCCTATCAGTAGCAGATTGTTAAAACTCATAACAGATTGCTAATTACAAAAAATGGTAGATCGTTAGCTCACAGGTTGAGGACCATAGACAGAATAACTACATTATAACTCCATTCAGGGCTTCTGATTTTATAGTACCACCCTCAGTTACAATTACCTACTAAAGGAACAGATAAAAGTCCTGACTGTCGAATATGAATACTAAACCTCTTAATCCATTCCCGATCACTAATGCTAAAGCGCCGATTCAGGCTTCTGGATCGACTGTCGATCGCTAATACCGAGTTCCTCGAGAGTCGTGCTCAGATAAGTATTATGGAATAATACTAAAAAATCGCGAGTCCAGTCTCGTCAATACCGCTTCCTTCACAAAATAACGCTAAAAGCCGGTTACCACCCCGAGATCCAGACGCACAAAAGCCTCCTGGGAAGAATACGGGTGCTTTCAGCGAACGCATGCGATCCCGTCGTCGCATCTTTCAGGTCGCAGCAGGCTGATTCGGCGTATCGGTCGGAGGGAGCCCGCGATAAGCCGATTAACGCATTCGATTCACCTATTCTGCCCGGGCCCCCTCGAATCGCCATTGTGTCGCGTCGATCGTACAGTGTCTCGTCTTCTTTTCTCTTTTTCTTTCTTTTTTTTTTTTTTGCACCGCGCGCAACAGCCTCTTTCAGCCGTCCATTATCGCCTCTCTTGTCCGGCGGCGTTCGCGGCCGGTGATTCCCCGTTCTAAAGCTTCGAATGAACTTTCATTAATTCCCATCTTTCCTTCATCCCCTTTTTCGTCCGTTTCTCTCGCGGCCTATGAAATCTCTCGTGTCTCGGTAAGATCCTCCTTTTTTAGATTAATACACGTTTCGAGATGAATTCCAATTACATCTACTTACGTATTACGAGGGACACAGCTATAATTTCGTTCGCTGACAAGTGTACAGAGATGTCGGATAAAGAAACATCTGTTGCTGAATACGGAGGAACAGCAATTTTCGTGTAATTGATAGAAATCGAGAGGGATGTAAACATGCCCGTATGGGTGTTCAAAGCGGGTATTAGATGAGTTCGAGGTTTTCGAGGATAGCCTTCCGGGAATGACGTTTGTATCTTTTGGAAGGAAATGTCCATGTTTATAGATGACTGTCATATTAAAAATGAACGGGATTAGACCTTCAATTTAGAAATAGCAAGTACTCGATTTTTAAAAATATATTCTGATCTTCGCTGGAAGAAAGTGAGGTATAGAAATGTTACCCTAATTAATAGGCATTCCATCCTGTACTATTCTCTGTTAACCACTACAGACTTTGACAGAGTGTTCCAGTCGATTATTTGACTTCCAAATCTGACTAACTGAATCCCAGCCTCGGTTTCCCAACTAATAAATAACAATATTTACCATTTATTAAGAAAAAAAAAAAATGAAACTATCAGTTAAAACCAACTCAACTTCCTCCATCATGGACAAACGTATTCTAGTGACCTACGGTTCTCCAAAGAATGCCCAAGAAGATCCAAGAGACACGATTCTTGACAAGAAGACTTGTCTTAACAATAACCTCAATAGTACATTCACTAATTCAGGCGACAAAGGTTCGCCAATTAAATCCACCGATCCGTCGCAGACACAGCTTCGGCGCCAAGCCAGTGATCAGGACTCATTGAGATCGATCACGACGTCCCCGGTGTGAAGGGCACTTAAGGAGTCGAATCGTGAATCGGTGGAGATCGACGAGTCCAGGGTGGTTCGGTAAAACGAGTGTCGGATAATTAATTCGGGTGACCCTTGTGTCTCTACGATCCGTGTGCTAACCTGGCCCTCTTTTACGTTCACCCCCTTCTTCGCTCGCCCCCGTTCCCCGGCCGTCGTTGATCGTATCGTGCCGCGGGTGATTTTAAATCGGAAAGTTAATTAGACGCGTTTCACTGTCCTTTATGTCGCCCGTACGTCGCGTCCCCTTCCCTCTTTACGGGCACAAGAGGCGCCCGTAAGCACGACCGTCACACACTGTATATGTACCGGCGTGACCGGCTTTCATTATGCGAACTAATTAAACTCCAATCGACGCTGACACTCGACGCCACGACACTCTACTATGCTACTCGTTTGCAGCGATCGGCGCCGTACGCCGCGAGCCTTGTGTGAGGGCCGTGTGTCTTCCCTTGGGGATGGGACTCAGGCTGTTTTTGGGCCAGAGTTGGGCGGAATTTTATTCGAATAATTCACACTGAAAAGCAGCAGTATCTAAGAATGTCGAGCTTTAAACAGTTAATGAGATTAAATAATTGTTCGACAAATGCCGATTCATGTATAAAGAAGTATTATTTTATTATAAACATTGAAATTTTCACGTTTAAACAATTAAAAATGACGAAATACTTTGTTTTATCTTTTATTCGTTATTCGAAACTTTTTATCTAGATTATGTTTGCCCATCTCTGTCTTGGGCGAAGGATGTCCGAATACGTCCTGGGACCTTGAAAATGGGAGAGACCGTGGGCCTTGTCTGTCTTCCTCTTTGGGAATGAGAATCGATTTGTTTAGTCACATTCTGGGAAGTTTCGAGACGTGTCTGTGGGAAGTATGAGTCAGGATATGTTGTTTACTCGAATTTTCCACTCGTTGGTCGATTTTTAGGTTATGTATGTTTTATTGTAACGTGGAAAGGAAGAAGAGATTGATTGTGTCTGGTTTCCTCTTTGGGAATGAAATCGATTTGGATGTTATTTGTCCTGATTGTACAGTTCTTGGACGATTTTTTAATTACACACATTCTACTGCAGTTAAGAAAGGAAGAAGGCATGGTTTGTGTGTTTCTTCTTCTTTGGACCCCCTTTTCTAACTAGATTTTTCGTACAGAATTCCGCCATCTTGGATTTCTCCAGAATTCTGCCTACACCACATTATTTCTATACGTAACCGGAAAACTGTTACATTTAACATTTCTCTACCGTTATTAATCTTCCACCTATGTAGTTACTAACTCAACTAACCACTTTTAATATAGAACAAACTCAACATTGGCAGAATGAACTTCCTGCTCCTAAACTTATAACGAACAAATCGTACAACGTGCCATTATTTCACACTAACACAAAAACTCATTTTCCTATACCCACAGAATATTCTCGGAACATTCGAATCTCTTTCATCGAGGCTTCCGTGTCAGCACACGTGGCGAGCTCCATCGAATAAAGATAAGGTTTCACGGAATATTAACAAAGGGGTGTACAAAAGGAATTATTAGGGAGCGGATATCATATTTTAACGGGGCTTGTAAGGGAGCCGTAGAATAGAAGGAACAGATATCCCGGGTAGGGGCCCGGTATAATTATGATTTCGAATATGATCTGTCAGCGTTCTACGGCTCTATGATCTCGACACGCTTCGATTGGCACGTATATTTGTACCAATTTCGTGTGATTACGCCGTAATTATAGGAACCACGGTGTTGTCGGTTGCACGACTCTTGTATTATCGAATATGTTCAATTACATTCTATCGATCAACGTCCCCCAGATTGTTCCGAATAATATTCTTCGGGTACGTTGTACACGAGTTTTCTTCCTCGGCGAAGACACTCAAATACTAAAATTGCGGCGATATAATTTTTAATGTTTCGTGGGAAACGGATTTTAATCCGTGCGTGTTCGCTCGACGAGGCGGCAATTTTATTGTATTTCGAAAATAAACGGGCAAAAACGTAATCGTACTGATAGAGGCCTGTAATAATAGCCGCGGGTGTACATACGGCCAGCGTTAACCGCAACCCCGATAAGCAGCTTAAAGGTAATCCTATTATGTGTATTAATAAATGCAATTTAGAACAACCGCTGATGGGGGAGGGAACTATAAGAACACGAGGTTTATAATAATCTGGGTAGATTTTCTTACCTCTGCCACCAGCGCTCTTCATTCTGTAACATAAAGACAAACGGATCTATTAGAAACGGTATTTATTGTCGAGTGACTTGTGCGAAAGAAATACAAATTGTTTGGCTTAAACGTTTCTTCTTGGGACGAAACTTTTCTGGAGAACTGAACTAATCTATTTAAATTCAGGTTGTGGTCTTGTTTGGTTATGAAAGTTTAAGACCAACCAACGTTGCCAGATCAGATGCCACATAACTGAGTTATCCGGTAAAAGTAGGTTGAAAATTTTTACATGAAGACAGTACTTTATTCGTCAACGTTCTCCACAAGTACTACGACATACTTTGACCGATAAGAATGTTCGCAAACATTAGTAATTTTTACACTATTCTTGACCCAAAAGAACCTTTAATAAAGGCAATAAATCTTTCACATAATTTCAGGTCTGATCCGCTACTAGTTAGTCACTTTGACTCCTTCGGTATGTACATCCACGAACAAACTCGGCTTCCACTAGGGAAAAAATGGCGTAGAAGAAAAATCTCCTACCACTTACTAAATTAATTTCAAGTACTAAAATAAATGTTAAACCGAATATTAATTTGGTATAAATTTCAGTAACTTCCAAAACTAAATGGTAAGAGGCCCTTCGCTTACCTCACTTTTTCCCCTAGCGGAAGCCGAGTTTTCTCGCGAGGGTACTTCCACCCGTAATATTATTCACATAACGCTTCTAATATTCAAGTCTTCACTATTCCCAATTATCCCCACTTGATGAAAGATTCTCGTTCGGAATGAATGAAAAATCCCCAACAACGACTCTAAAAAACCCATCGAGGAACGATTACATTAATGTATGCGAAAACAATAACCATTTCTTCCGCAATAAGCGTTCGGAAAGAGATGATCATCTTAAGTGGTTCATCCAGTGTATAGTCGCCGCAGCCGCAACGGCCGTGTTCAAGTGCAACCGCGGCCAACCGGCCATTAAAATCGCGAACGCGAGGATACGGGGCCCCTCCACCCCAATAAAAATTGCGCGTTAACCGCGCTCTGAATACGAGTCTTTGTCTCGATCGTTCGGAGGAAGTGGATCGCTATAAAGATTCACAGCGCGATTCCTCCGTCATGCCCGGAACGGAATGGTTGGTCATAGTTACGGCCCCTTTCCCCCCACCCTTCGCCATTTCACCGGTGGCATAACGTCTTCGCGAGGCTCTCTCACTCTTTCTCACCTTCTCCTTTTACCCCAGTTTTTTCTTTATTCATTGTTTCCTCTGCAGTTTTTTCCACTGTCACACGAGCATCACTTCGAATCGGAGTGGCGCAGCGGGGTCTAGTTAGCAACCGGTTCGCCCTCCTCTCGTATTATGGCCGGTACGACTTTTGATGCATTGTGGGTAGGCCTGGTAATTCAAGGGGTAATCGATCTTACCGGGCATCGATCGGGGGGGACCGGCTAAACCGCGATCGTTTCGCGAATCGGGCTTGGATCACCGATCCGTATCGACGGGATGCATCGTTGTTTCTACTCTTTGTGTGTACGGGAGGCTTCGAGAGGCAATCCCTCGCGGAAACCGAACCAACTGGCAGGTGTTTACGGTCTCGTATTTCGATACGAGATTCCACGATCGGGAACACTTCTGTTCTGGGATCGATGATTGAATTCGGGGGGATCGGTTTATTGAATGTTCGAGCTTCCTGAATGAGACCGATTTATGTACCAGATTGAACGCCAACGGTTTCTACTTTTGGTATTGTAGGATAAGATACGTTTGTTTAGGTTTTTGTTGTTAACAATATAAGTATTTACGCGTTGAGTTGAACAGTAATTAATTTCATTATTACTGTATTAGTGATTATATTTGTAAAATGTTAAATGTTTAAAAATTCAATGATTCTTCGTGTAACTTAAGAAAAATCGGCGAGTTATCGGTGACCATTAATCTTCGCATGAGATACGGTGAACCATCGTGTATAATATAATTAGCGATTTGTGGGTTAATGAAATAGGTTATGACATTGTACTGACCTTCGACAGTGGAGAAGCGTCACCATCACCACGGCACCGATACCAGCTGATACCAGAGACACTATCACCAGGGTGAGTACCCAGCCCAATTCTCCAGGAGCTTCTGTAAAAAGAAAACAATAAAATTAGTACCTATTCGTTGGAGTCAACTTAATTTCTACAGCAGTTGCCTAGCTCTGCTGTAGATCTTTTCGGGCACTAATCCAAGTTTTACTGTACAAGTACATATATCAGCAGTACATAACCACAGCTCAAGCCTGAAGACTTTATTACGATTAAATATTTATCATTCTTCCACCAGTAACCACACAAAAAACTCCAACCACACGATCACTCCATAACTACTCCCCTCTACATTCTTAATCTTCCCAAAGACCTGTTCAATAACCTCGCCATAAAAGTCCGTATTTAATTAATAAAACTGAAAAGTATCGCTATAACCGATGATTTCTCGCGAACACGAGCGTACAACTTCCGAGGAGGTTTCCATGGGTCACCCGCTGGGACAAACACCTTGGGGGCACGGTTCTGAATAAATTGGCGGATGGTAGTTTCGCGTGTTGGGCTCGCGGTCGCGCGAATACGCGCGGTAATTGGGCCGCGGTCGCGTCCACCCCGTACGGTGTCCGCGCTGCGGGACGCCCGCAGCTTTATTACGCGAGGTACGGTATTATTTCTGCGGCACACCTACCGATACCTCGTTTCCTTTCGCGGCGCGACGGAAGTCCCGTGTGCAAAGGATACCTACACAGTAATGGAGGGACTTGAATTTTAATTCTCACCCAGCCGACGCCTGGGTCAGATGTGACCTGTTTTTGAATATACAATGCAGCGATAATAAATACGTAAAATGTATCCTGCATACGGGAGTAATATTTTATAGGCTTCATGTATGTTAATAGGATGTGTCGAATATACAGGGTGATTGAAAAAAAGTATTCAAGATTGTAGGGCTCCTGGTATTCATCGAGATGAGTAAAAAATGTGTAAAGAACGTAGGTCCTAAAATTAATCTTTTCAGTGTAAAATTAAACTTTATATTTACGGATATTTAATATTGAAAATTCTTTTTCGTGATTAGTTAATCTAAAAATGGTCTCAATACGTGCACCTCATTTGTATGTTCACGATAAAGCCCCTGGAAATGATTTTCTAGATGTGACGTAGACGTCACACTAGGTGTTAAAGGGTTGAACCAATAATGTCCTTTTGAAGCCATAGCTACCTTTAAAACACAAAGTTTCACAGGCGTCTCACGGCAGCGAGTCTCACGGCTCGATCCAATGATTTTCCGCGAATAGACGAGCAACTCTGTCCCCGAGTACACGGCCGTTTAACCAGTTTCTCAGCTCGTTTGTCCCGCGATTCTCACAGTTCGCGGGTCGGTCGATGCACGGCGTGCTCCGCGACGATCGGCGACTGCGCTCATTAGCGTGGTCGCTTCTGCCGATTCCGCGAGATATCTTAATCCCTTAATGAAACTGTGCTGGTTGATTCCTAATTTAGACGCTTAATCGCGAGCGTTTCCCTCGGAACGAGTCACCAGCGGCCAGCTTTACTGCCTCCGGGAGTCGTGCACAGGAGAGGAGTAATTCAACAGAGGAGAGCGGGAGGGGCGAGCACTTATCGCGACTCGGTTTACTGTGGCGAACGACCCCACTCGTTCGCGTTATGGAACGTTGTTAGCAGAGAACTAATAAAATGTGGTTTCAGAATTATTTTATGTTTTTCTTCTAGATATACAGAAATTCACGATTGTTTATGCGAAACAAAGAAACTAAAAATACCTGGATCGAGTCCGTTGTGTAAGACCGTCGAGGAAATATAAATCTAGGAATTCATATGAAAAATCTTTACAGATACAAATTTTCATATTTTCTTCCAAGTCTAATTAGAAAAGAGTAAGTAGATATCAATGATGTAATTCTATCCCCCTACCCTAGCTCTGAACTTCAAACATGACAACCACCTCTCGAACTTCCATCATCGGAACACTTAACATATTCATGACCACATCATCGCTCACTTCACCAAACACTAGCTACGATTTCTTACGAACATATTATCGCAACCATTTCCATTACCCATTATTCAGTTTGTAATATTAACTCGCAGCTCCCCCCCCTGTAACTCCAAAATTTTTTATATAGCAGCGATTGTCACGCACGGTCGTGTCGGTTTCATTGTATTTGTCGCATCGCGCGTAAACGCACGCGCTTCCCGAACTGTGTTCCGATGCTCCGATTGTTCGCGACAGAGAGAGCACGAAAGGGTTCGCCGAAGAGGAAAAAAAAAGGGTTCTGCCCCTGGGTAATCCGGTGCCGTCCCTCGTCCCTGAGAATTCACCGCTAGAAGGGCCTCCGCTCGTGACCGCGACCGGCTAGAGTCGTGCCCCATTCACGTGGCGGGTTCGGATGCTGTATTCGCTAACAGCTCCGGACCTTTGTTCGCCTCTCGACCTCGTTTCTGTAAGACGACATTGAAACAAGTTGGACGAATTATGTAGGTAGCTCGACTTGGTCCTCGCTGGGCAATCAATAATCGAAAAAGGAATTGATAGATCCCTGTGGCGATATCTGTACAGGTTATTGCTTCTAATAGATCTTATCATCTTTGATAGTTTTCGAGGGCCCCGGATCCTTTGGTGACTTCATGCTTAGATCGAATAATGATTCAGGATTAAGAAGACAGTTTCTACTTCTTTGGGATAGAGGATTACGGTGGTTTAGTTTTATTTGGGATATATTACTTCTTTGACATTTACTTTGTGCTTCGACTGACCAGGATTCAAGATCTAATCTATAATACGAAATAGTGAGACGTCCTACAAGTTCAACTGGTAGACATCCGCTCGGATCGAGCTCCTGTGCTACGAGCCTATTTCGTTATTTTAGTTGAATATATTAAGTACACGAAAGATATTTGTCTCTATCGTTAACATTTCAGGCTTCAATGGCTAATCCCGATTGGCAGGGACGATATCCTCGACATCACAAGAGTTCAGCTCAGCCAGAATGTACGACCTAGATAAACGATCAGTGTCCATACAAGTACACCGGCGAATTCCACTCGCCGATCCGTCATACGTATTCAAATTTCCATGGATCCCGGGTGTGACTCACACCCGAAGAAACCTTTTTCCGTCCCATTAAACGACACCGAGAGAATCCCGGGAAGAGACAGGGACGAAGCGAACGGAACACGACGGAGGAGTGTCGAATCGGATGGGAGAGGAAAAAAAGAGAGAAAACAAAAAACGACGACAGAACGAAATTCTGACACGCCAGCACGTAAGTTCGAATTAACGGCAACAGGTCGCGCGTGGAGGTATACGCTACACCGCACGAAAGGAAGAGGAAACGGGGACGAACGAGCGGCGCGAGGACGGAAGACAAAGGATAGACGACAGCTTGGGCCGTCTATCAGCGTCACGTTTCTGACGTGAACATAACAACGTGCACGGCCACGGCTGATAACGTGGTTACAAGGGAGTTATCAATCATCTCACCAGGCCGGGGGACCCAGGCCACCTAGGATAATTCGTGTCGGACGCTGCGCGGATGGACGCGCGAACACCTTCGTTATGCGTCAGGTTACAACGTTGTCCCGACACGGGGACGTTAAAGAAAGCAGCTCGACTTTTCGGAGGGAACGCACCTCTCTGCTTCATCTCGGATTCCTCCGGGTTGAGAACGAAACGAACCGATGCGTACAAAATGGGGGGGGGGGGGGACTTTGTACGGCTGTCGATTTCGCATCCACCTGGAGGAACCCATCCGACCCGTCTTGCGGCTATGGTCATTCGACTTTGCTGCGTTGTTCGATGTATCGACGCGCGTCGATCGCGATCTTTTTGGTAGAATTACTGGTTTTTCTTGTGGAATATTGTCTGGCCAGGTTGGGGACATTGATGGATAAGGCTATGCTTGAATGAGAAATGGTATGTCCTATTGATCTTTAGACTATTATGGTTAGAGTCAGACTTGTGGGAATGTGTTTGATCATCTTTAGGATTTTAACAACTATGGAGGTTTGTTAGTTAGAGTACCTGTATTTCGTACGTTTAGTTATACATATTTGTGCATAGCCCTGGGTTAAGTCCTAGTTTTTGCAGGAAATATCGAGACTCCTCTATCATCGAATATAGCCGTAGGTCCTAGGTGAGATCAGAAGCGAGCAAAATTTTATTCGAATGACAAATAAGTTATCCTGATGTTCATTCTATTACTGTTACGTCAACCAAATATGGGTGAGACGTACATTGCAAAGAGGCTGGATTGTTTAAAAACCTTTGCAAAATTTTAATTATTACATATTTTCAGGCAGTCCATCCTTTGGTTTCGTGGCCAGGCGGTGTCTAGTTTTTGATTTGTAAGGATCCATGGGGGGCCGACACGTACGACGACGTGAAACGCCGCCGATACACGCATTCTCCGGGCTGATTTTACACGTGTTCCTTGCCACTGGCGACGCTCACGCGCGACACGCAACGAAGTACGCGGGCTTATGCCTCGCAGGATTTATGCGAATATCGGTCGTTTCGCGGGACACGGCCGCGAACAGGTGCAAAACAGCTCGGGGGAAAGACGGAGGGCGCCTGACCACCCTGGAGGAGGAAGAAGAGGATTCAAAGAAGCGAAAAGTTTCGGGAAACGATTCGTATCCGACACGTTGAAATATTTGCAGATTCTATTTTATAGAATTCATTGTGAGTTTAGTGGTTCTGTAATTAATTCCGACACAATTGAGTAGGAGGATAATTATGGGAATGTGGGGCAGTCATTTTCTTGATTAATAATACGATATAATGGTGACCAAAAATATTGACTAGCAAGGTTTTATAATATTTTATAATCGTAATATTGTTCTGCTATGTTGACTATAGTTAAAAAATTACTAAAAGGTTACTTGCTGTTTAAAATTATGTACTCAGGTCTCGACTCCACCCAGTCACAACGTTAACCATTTCCATATATTTCCGACAACGTTGAATTTATTTTCAAGAAAATATGAAATTAAATTACTAATACGAATAGTGAATTCAATTGCGAACTGTCTAAAAAAAGCGAGTTAATTATTTGTGCTGATCAAGTTCCACCGATC